ATAGAGTATATTATTATATTCATTAGAGTCATATGTGTATTACAAATACGATATCTTCAGAAATATATTAATATACTCCAACATAAAAATACACCAATAATTAAAAATAAAATTTCGATTGAAGAAATGTCGTACCTGTATGGATAAAGTGGTACTTTGTTCCTAAATATTGATAATAACAGACTAAAAAAGATAGCGACTAAGCCTGCACCTATTGCAGCAAATATTCGTCGTTTTTTTACATCACCTTTACGGGAAGCAGCTTCGGTCATTAAAATCATACCTAAAACTACTGCTCCATCTAATTACAATTTATTAAGGAAAATATCAATACAATTAATGACCGTAAAATTAATATTACAATGAGATCAAACAACAACAGCATTAGTATGTATACGTCGTAGTGCAAATGTAACGAAGTCGTAAAAACTATAGACAAAAACAGTATTGTTCTCGAGCAACAAAAACAAGGAAACCATCTCAGATATACTATTTGTACGTTATTCTGTGATAAACGTACAATTTTTCAATCATGAAGGATATGATTAATAATTTTTACTCAATAAAAGTATTGATTTCTATACTACATGGGCAAGGCTCAAGTACAAAACGTGACATTTGTTATAACCACTATGCAATTAAAGTAAAGTTGTATTCAAATTATTATGTAATAAAAAGGATACTCAAAACCATAACAATGTATGTTTCCAAAATAAATTGGCCTTGAGAAGAACCATGTATATAAGCTATATTTCCACTAGATGATCTATGCACGAATGGTGGTCCTCTAATATGATTCCACATTTGCCCAGATATCATCATAAGTGTGAAAATCTATGTTAAAGAAAAGATTTTAAGGTATGTTATTACTTATGTAAATATACCTATATAATAATTATTACCAGTGCACAAAGTCCCCAAATTGTTTTGTTATAAATGAAGTCCAAATTATTGCGTCTCAAATATAAGAATCCTCCAGTTAATACCAGTAACATTATCACTGCTACTGTGCCAGAATAGTTTGGAGGCCTGAATACCCTAATCTATAATACATTTTAAATGTTATTATTTCTCATCACTAATTATTAGACATCCATATATGTAAATACCTGAATGTCAGTACGTTCAGATATCCACTTTGCAATTGCTTCAGCTCCAAATCCTACTCTTTGAATGTCCATAGTATCTGCAGGCTTTGGCTTTCCTTTTGGTGGAAAATGCATGTATACTGGTGCAGTATTTAATCGCATCTATATATAAACATGTTTTATCATCTATGTACTTGTTACAATTCAATATATAAACATATGACGTTATGCATACCATTTGGAATACATCTGATCCTTCATCAAAATCTACAGCTACAAAGAACAATTTCTTTGAATGTGATTGTAGGTATCTGAATGAGTTTGCTACAATCACAAATTCATCTCTTGCATGCCTGTTAAAATAAAAATACATAACAATATTAAATAACATCAAATAGAATAAATTGAAATATAATTTAAAATTAACCTGCATATCTGACACTGTCTTTGTGGTGCCATAGCAGTAAACATTACGACAACAGAATAATTTCTCGGTGTAGTTTTAACATATTCTTTAAACTTTGCTCCATTGAATTTAAGTACAGATCTTGTTAGAGCTAGCTCTGTTAATTGCTGTACGCGATCTGATAATGAGGTGCCTTGAGTCTGAAATACGTTATTTTTTCGTATATTAAACTCAAGTAGATAGAAATTTTTATTCTTATTTTAAGGTTAAGTAAAATGTTTCAGCGCTAAATGTGATATATTCTACATAAAACTAATTATGTATACTAATATTATTGTTTATCAAGATTGTTTTATTAATAAAATTTTATGTAGTACGAATAAAATTAAATGAAAAATTCATTTGACATTTCACAGGTGTGACAGTTATAGAAAATTAAATGAATTCTCACCTTTATTACCCTATATTGGCAACAGACGTAATTTAAGCTTAAAATAAGTCCCAAGAATGCAATATAATTTTTATAATCCATTGCAAACAATATTGTAAAGGAATATGTTACAAAACTTTTCTACCGGGAACAAGTTAGAATAGTACAGTAACGTAGGAAGCTCATTGGTTTATTCTATACAATTTTCAAAAATTATTGCAACGAAAAATAAATATTTTGGAAAAATGTATTACTTATGTTATTCAAACTAAATTAATTTGTTTACTGTTGACAAATAAATCTAATGTTTTTAATATTACGCATTGCACGTTTTATGTTGCTAAACACCTCAGACATGTATCAAAAAATTTTTGTACTTGATCTAATTTGTTGTTGCAATTTAGAGTTATAATTTAATGTTTGTGTTTATTGTAGATACATTAAATTTTATATCAATTACATTCATTAATAATAATATTTTGCAAATATATCTTTACATTAAAAAAATTTATAAAGAAATGTGTTAATTTTAGATAAGTGGCGACTACAAATTTTGCTACGTTACTGATGTCAATATAGGTGTACTGCTACCGGATTGGTTAATTGCGCAACGCGTGCCCGTTGATTCGTTGTTGTACCTCTGTTCAACTTGTGTAACCGTCATTTTAAATCAGAAAAGCCGGTGCGTACTTCGTAGGAAGAAATGTTTGGAAGTGAATAGGAAGTAGAGGTAGCAATATTTCCCTCGCATAGGAGGTTCACCGTTCGGGCAGAAAACATGTGTAGCGTATATCAAAAACTGTGTTCCCCTTTAAATTAAAATCCGTTAAAAGTGTTAATCCCAAAGTTACTCTGAACGTTGTTTAGTTTTTGTCGTGTATTGTTGTTTGAATACGTTTTAAACAATGTCGTTTTCAAAAGCCAGGATCCAAAGGTTTAACGAATTTGAAAGTAAGTAAATATAATTTATCGCGCTTCTTTAGTGTACACGGAATATGTGTTATATTTTTTCTAAATGTGTTTCTTATGTTAAGAATAGGTTAATAATATTATCATTCTGTTTGTTATCTGATATTTATCTAAAATCATTTTGAAATGAACAAATATCATATTACCTTTATGTATGATATTTGGCGGGAAATTAATTAAAGATTTTTTAACAAATGTTAATAATATTAATATGAAATATTTTATATTTATATCTACAAATGTACAATATTTGCAAGTTTTATAGTCGGAGTATCTTTTTTTCCTAATATGTTGTCATATGATCGTAGAAATTAACGGGGAAGATAATTTTAATTCGCTTATTCACAAATTTTGTAAATTCCGTTACGTTTTGCAATGAGCTTTCATTGAATTTCATTTACTTTATAGTTCAATAAAATTTGTTTTTTTTTAAATAAAGTACTAAATGCGTTATTGATACATTGTTATTAATTGTCTCATATTGTTTTTATTATATATTAATACGCAAATATTAACTTACTTTCTTATTTATATTTACATATGTGCAATAATAGTAAAAGAAACTATCATGAAAATATTTACAGTATTATAACATAACTGCATAGTAACAGTACTAATAACAATTATAGTAATACTTTATATTTATGATTATTATAATTATACTTCATATATTGTTGTTCTCATTAGAATTCAGCAAACATTGATTTTTATTCTGCAGATTAGGGACACTTTATTAACAAATATATTAATATTTTTAAATAAATGAAGTGACAATAGGGAGTTCGTTACTTTTTACATTATTCATTTACCTCTTATGAATCTAAATTTTATAAATTACAATATAAAAGAAACTCATAATAAATTAATAATGATAAAAAACGAATATGGTAATTGTTATAAAATTTCCAAGAAAAATTTATGTAAGTAAAAAGAATGAAATAACAGAAAAAGTGTTAGAGGTCATTTAATTTTTAAATGTTGCGTGTAAGAATGAGGGGGAGGGGGATAAAAGTCGGTACAATGCAGGGTCGATTTCGTTGCGAAACTATGAAAAAAGGGGCGGTCAGAACGTTATAGGGTACACCTGGTAATTCTATGACCCCTTAGAGACATGTCTCTTGCATTTAGAAACAGCTGTCTCCCATTTGCGCCTGCTCTTCGTGCAAGATAAAAAGCCTTCCACATGGTACGACGACCTGTAGGCAGATTCGTCGTCAGATTTTGGAATTTAACGATAAACTTGTCGTGCGTTGCAATCACTGACGATTTTTCTGATCTTTGGAGGAATTTTCATGTGATATCATTTTGAAATGAACAAATATCATATTACCTTTATGTATGATATTTGGCGGGAAATTAATTAAAGATTTTTTAACAAATGTTAATAATATTAATATGAAATATTTTATATTTATATCTACAAATGTACAATATTTGCAAGTTTTATAGTCGGAGTATCTTTTTTTCCTAATATGTTGTCATATGATCGTAGAAATTAACGGGGAAGATAATTTTAATTCGCTTATTCACAAATTTTGTAAATTCCGTTACGTTTTGCAATGAGCTTTCATTGAATTTCATTTACTTTATAGTTCAATAAAATTTGTTTTTTTTTAAATAAAGTACTAAATGCGTTATTGATACATTGTTATTAATTGTCTCATATTGTTTTTATTATATATTAATACGCAAATATTAACTTACTTTCTTATTTATATTTACATATGTGCAATAATAGTAAAAGAAACTATCATGAAAATATTTACAGTATTATAACATAACTGCATAGTAACAGTACTAATAACAATTATAGTAATACTTTATATTTATGATTATTATAATTATACTTCATATATTGTTGTTCTCATTAGAATTCAGCAAACATTGATTTTTATTCTGCAGATTAGGGACACTTTATTAACAAATATATTAATATTTTTAAATAAATGAAGTGACAATAGGGAGTTCGTTACTTTTTACATTATTCATTTACCTCTTATGAATCTAAATTTTATAAATTACAATATAAAAGAAACTCATAATAAATTAATAATGATAAAAAACGAATATGGTAATTGTTATAAAATTTCCAAGAAAAATTTATGTAAGTAAAAAGAATGAAATAACAGAAAAAGTGTTAGAGGTCATTTAATTTTTAAATGTTGCGTGTAAGAATGAGGGGGAGGGGGATAAAAGTCGGTACAATGCAGGGTCGATTTCGTTGCGAAACTATGAAAAAAGGGGCGGTCAGAACGTTATAGGGTACACCTGGTAATTCTATGACCCCTTAGAGACATGTCTCTTGCATTTAGAAACAGCTGTCTCCCATTTGCGCCTGCTCTTCGTGCAAGATAAAAAGCCTTCCACATGGTACGACGACCTGTAGGCAGATTCGTCGTCAGATTTTGGAATTTAACGATAAACTTGTCGTGCGTTGCAATCACTGACGATTTTTCTGATCTTTGGAGGAATTTTCATGTGATATACTTCATTGTTGGACTGATTGTTCATGCATGACAATATCATTTGATTTTTCAATTTTATGTAGGACGCTGACGACTAAAGATGCGATACTCTGCGATTATTATTTGTGAGCAAATAATTAGTGCAGAGGTCCAAACATTCCCGAAACGACAATCTTTTATTGGTTCTGTATGTACGGAGCTTTTCCTTTGTCCTAAAAAATTGGAATATCTTGAGGGACTAAACCTATGAAAAAAATGTTTGATCAAAAGTTGTTTGGTATGAAGAGGGACATTATGGTGCAAATTATTTTTTTACAGGTCAAGTTCATTTTTTTAAATGGAACCATGTTTTTTTTTCATGTTACGATAGCATTTGTTGAAACGGATTCAACAACTTGCTATATGAGGTAATTTATTGCTGTAAAATTTTATAAATTAAAATAAATTTGTTTTTCTTTAATTTGTCGTGAACCCGGAGAGGTAGAATTTCGTTTCTGATAACTAATTTTATTATTTCTAATCTACAAGTTCGACGATCGCAATGAGAAGTTGACTTCAAAACACCAACTTTTTTCTCTGTTCGAAAATGCATGCGTGAGGGTAGATATAACGTTGGTAAAAATTACTATTGGTCGTTTCTATTGCGAGGGTGGTACTGTTAGAACTCGGAGTAGGGTGTGCATAAAATTAATTAAACATTTCTATGTTCTCGTAACAGTGTATTTTACACGAAGACTATTTCCGCGTTGCCTGAGCGTCGCAAAAATTACACGTTCAACGGTTTCGTGAAGAGTGTGTACGCGTCGTCCTGCCGATCCCTGTCCACCCCTATGCCAACAAGCCCAGGGAAAAGCCCAAAGGGGCGGAGTCGTCCCCACCGAGCGCGCCGGGCCTGGCTTCAAGGTGCTCGCTTCACCGTCTTCGGGACGGATTTTCTCACAGTACATGGTACCATTTAAAAAAATGAAGTTGACTTTGAAATTTCCTCTCTCCACTCGACCTGTAAAAGATAATTTATTTCATATAATGACCCCTTTCATAGCAAACAACTTTTGTTGAAACATTTTTTTGATAGGTTAAATCCATCACAAGATATTCCAATTTTTCAGGATAAATGAAACACCCTGTATGATTGCATTTTTAGTATATAAAATGAATAAAAGTAAAAATTTGTATAAATGACTATTAATAAAGTAAACATTACTTCTAAATAATTTGTTTTTGATACTTTTTGTTTTGTTTACTTGGAAAATAATAGAAAGATATGAGAAATTAAATTTTTAATCAG